GCCAAGTGTCTCCACAGGGCTCCGGTTGCAGGGAGGAGCCCTGACTGGCCGCACGTGGCTGCGCCAAACACCACGGCGTTGCTCTAACACCACAGCAGCAAGGGAGAAGGGAAAGCCACGGTGGCGGAAGGTCTCCCGAACATCCAAGCTGTTGCTGCCCGCCCATCCAAGGATGCAAGGGGGGGGAATTAAGTCACCCCTGAAAAGACGGTCTAGCCGTTTTTTCGGGGGTCAAAAAAAAATAAGGCCCGGCCTTATTTTGTGAGAAACACGGTAGTATGATAGTCGTGCGGGGCCGGCACGTTGTGCAACAAGGTCACATAGTGTAATAAGATTGGGACTGGGTTAGGGACTTCTGTCCTCACTGTGAGTTGTGTTGGGGGGGTGCACAAAGGGAGCCTCAGCCAATCTCATTGTACACATGTTGTACTATGACAATAAAGGTAATAATAATAGTCAGAACTGGATATAATAGTTGAGGTGAGTCTAAACAATGCAGAATGTCGCAGACATATAACTTTCTATGATGTGGCAATTAAACTATTGCTAAGGCCTAAAATTGCATTTTTTTTTGTATTCATATTACATTGTTGATGCATACTCAGTGCCCATTGCTATTCTAAGATCTTCCTGACAAACAGTATTATTGAACCAAATAGGCATAATCCAATATTTAGTTGTTTTCTAGCAGAAGAATTTTGCTTTTATGCAAAATTTAATTATGTTGATTGCTATAACCTAATCTAACCTATATAAACCTAATTCCTACTACCTTCTCCTATCTTATGGTTTATCACATGTTGGTATCTTATGATTTATGATTGTATCTTATGATTTATAATCTACGACTTACTGCTTTGTTGTTTGTATGTACGCTAACAGATTATGCCTGAGACAAATTCCTTGTGTGTCCGATCACACTTGGCCAATAAAGAATATTCTATCAATATTGGATTTTTTTTAGATTTTACTCCCATCTATTTTTTTTCATTTACAACTGAGGGAAGTGAACATACCAATACTCCTTCTTATTCCTATTTCTCTTATAACAACCACTATGTGAGGTGAGTTGGACTAAGAGAGAGTGACTGGCCTAAAGTTACCCAGCCCATTTTTCATCCTAGCATAGAATTAGAACTCATAATCTCCAGTTTTCTAAGCCAACACCTTAACCACAACACCATCTGGCTCTCTTTTTAAATCTGAATTCTGCCTTCTGGAATAATAAATATCCCATCCAATTATGCATCATTGCAAATTTGGTATTTTTCCACCTCTTCAAGTTTCTAGCAGATATATTAATAAGTACAAGGCGTAGGACTGAACCTTATGGTAGCCCCTCAAAACCACACTGCAGTGAAAATCATTCTATGAGCTTATTTCCATATAACTATCCTTCTTCTGCTTAGGATACTCAGTCACAGAAAAACAAACGCTCTTCATATCAGATCATAACCCTCTCCCTCATTCTAGCTCAAGGGTCCCCAACCGCCAGCACCGGTATGCGACATGCTAGAAACTGGGCCACACAAACAAGTAACGCCCCTCCATGTGAAACCACCCCCCTCCAGTCTGCGGAAAAACTCTCTCCATGGAACTGGTTCCTGGCGCCCAAAAGGCTGGAGGCCACTGTTCTAGCTCATCTAGCAAGTGGGACTGCAATTCATTGGAAAGGCACATGCTATATACAAAGCAGGTCCAGATCTAATCATGGCACTCTCTAGTCTGGCTAATATTGCTCTGCCTGATACTTGGGAGAGATTTCACCAATGGCTCAGTTTAAACCTCCTTAGTGTTCCAGGTCTTATTTTATCTATTTATTAAATTTATATGATGCCCATCTCTCAACTAAGGAACTCTGGGTGGCTTAAAATACCATAAATAACAGAATAAAACAATTACGATGAAAACATTAAAATATCAGACAACAGAAATTAGAACATTAAAATTGTTTGCCACATTCCATAAATTATTACGAACGTGAGAAAGGGTGAGTTTCAGTAGAGGACAGACTCTTATTTGTAAAGAGTGAAGCAATAGGAAGCCAGGTTTGTATACCAGTTCCAACTGCTCCCCTAAAAGAAACATGAATAGCATCGTACAAGTTTAATCTGCCTTGAAACTAATTTCATTTCTTCATGTTTCTTAGTTTTTAACAGTGGTCCTAAGAAAGTTTCTGACAAGTCCATCAAATCAAAGGCAACAAATCTCCCTTGCAGTTAATTTGCTTACTTCTGTATGCTACCAATCTATACTGTACATACTTTGACTTACTTGATTGTGCTGAGTTAAGCATCACAATAGCTTTTTTGTGCAACTGGTTTGGAAATGACTCTATCCTCCATTTCTGAGTAATTGCTTCTGTACTTAACAGACAATCCCAATTCCACTGTAAGCAGTCAATTTACTTAATTCACTCCTAAAAACCGTAAGATTTATCTATAAAATAGAGGGTAATAAATGATAAATCTTACCCGTTGTGGTGATTCATTCTGAAAGTACTTTTCAAATGCCGTGACCTGTCTGATGACATACCAATCTGAAAGTGCATCTTTGCTGAAAGTGCAAAGTGCATATCTTTCCTCGATGTGAAAATCAATTTATTCAAAGTTGTATTTTTAGTTTCAGGCTGATAGGCTTGGAAGTTTAGTTTCGAGTTTAGTTATGCTGCACCTGGTTGCAAGACTTCAATGCTTAAATGAATTTATTGGCTGCCAATGAGAGTTAATTGTTTTCAAATTAAGAAAACCAATGAAGATCTATTCTGCCAATATCTTGGTGGTTTTAATGGAATTGTTCCTGTCCAAAGTTAAATGATAATTCTTCATGAAACTCTTTGCTTTATTATATTGTATAAACCTACCACGGACTGTTTGAACATAGTTTGCTAGGAAAAGGAAGCCATAACTAAACAAACAATAAGACATCTCTTCTTTCCTATAATCAACAACTTACTTTATTGTATTACACTATGTTATACAATATAGTGTATATTATACTATAACATACCCTTACAATCACAAGACCTATAACACATTCACCCAAAATCATACATACTACATTGCAATATGTCAACTAACTTCCTATATGAATTGCTAAAGTTCACACAACATACTAAGCTACAATAGTTTTTGTTTTGATTTGATATAGCATGACATGAATTCATGAGAAGGCAGTACCTTTGCAACTAATAAAAATAAGTGATCTGTGGCTTATTCAGCAAGTAAATCATGGTTCTGCGTCATTTGTGAATCAATTATTGACTGATATGAAGATAAGGTAGTAAAATGCAACAATTTTCTTTGGCCCAATTCCTTCACACATATTGTAAATACTGCCATTTGAAGTTACAGCTATGAAGTAATGAGCACAGATACATGATCCTTAAGATTTAAAGAAAAGAGTTGATCTTTCACCTAGTCTTCAGTGCATCAATACAGAGATTTTACTGTGTTCCCAAAAAGCCTACAGGGAATATATAGTACTCACTATGACCCTTTTCCTTGAATGGTTGTATTTTACATAAAGCTACACATTATGGCAGACAGATGCTCAGTGCTGAGAGCATTCCTTTGCCAATTTATTGTAAGGTCTTCTAGTTACAGCATCTACTCATTGAGTAAAATGCTTTTAGTAACTGAAATGAAAATCAATGTCCACTTAGTCTAATTTTAAAATTCTAGAGATATTCCCCTCTTTTTGTTTACTGACTAAAATTAAAACTTAACTTTGTCTCTAAAATTCATACACTCTTATTTCTGTAAACATTTAAGAGTTCTCATAATCTGCCGTAAGGTTCTGAATAAATACTCCACAAACTTTGTAAGAAATTGAGACTACATGAGAGAACAGTTTTAGCTTCAAAGAACTATAATTCAGTGTTAACAGCTAAGTGATTTTAATCAGCAAATTGCCTTGAAACTTAATTATGTTGGAAGTCAACGTCTTGTATGTTTTAATTATATTCTTAAAGTGTATAAATTCACTCCAAAGAGGTGCAAGCCATTACAGAGCTGCATAGATATGCAGAAATCATTTGCTGTTTATGGGCCACTAAGTCCATATCAATTAAGCTTTTCTTTTGTTTGTGAATATTAATATACCCAAATAGTCCATTCAGATCCAAAAGAATTATTGCTTGCTGACTTCAGTGCATTTTTAAAGTAAGTGCTTGGTAAAAAGAAACTGAACTGTACTTTTGACAAAATATACAATTTGGAATGCAAGTTTTCCAAATTTAGTTTGTAACTAACAAAACATGCTGCTTTGGATGTCTTGCTGAAGAAACTATAAGTATATATTATATTTCAGTAAATAGACATTAATAGATATGTTAATGAAATAAAGAAATAAACTCCAAGGTTGAAGCATCAGAGAGCACATGTTTACACATTTACCGCGGGAAGCACTACCTATAAAGCTAATAAATCTTTGTTTTCTTCCAGAATAATCAACTTTTATGTGCTGACCTTAATTTTTTTATCATTTCATTCTATGAAGGCCATGACAAGAGTGGCACCAGGAAATTACTAAAAGACAACGTAGATTTGGTATATAAATGTTATAATGAAATAAGGTGATGCAGAACATTCTTGTAAAGTGTTTACCTAATATATTTGATCAACTGATCATGGTTGAGGTATTTCACAGAACTTCCATTTTCAGGTCAGCAGGACTGACCACCAGTGCAAGAGAAGATTCTCCATCGATATGGCTAATAATCAAAATACCCAAGGACAGAGAAGAAAGTTTATCCTTACAGTGAAAGCACAGGAGGAAGATGGGCAGAATCTAACACTGAATTGCTTATACATAGGTTCTGTTTTCTGGAAGAAAAATAATGTGCTTGAATATTTTTGTATTAGCAACATTTTTTCTAATAAAGCTTATTAAGTTTGAGCTAGAGAGAACTCTTTCTTTGCTCTTCTTCTCCAGGCCTGATTGTTGCTGAGTTGATCTGACAACCAACAAGGAGAGATCAAATGTTCAGTTCCACTCACCCACTTGGAGAATCTCACAATCTCTTTTAGGATTATTTCCAATTTGGCATCTGAATATTGCCCCTGGTTTCACTACAGAGCTATTACTAGGCCAGCTGGCTTTAGGGGCTCCGGCTATAAGCCTGAAAGAAGAAATAAAAAGATTTAAAACTCTCTCTCACACACACAAGCAGTCCAGACTTGAGTAACCAAGCATTCATTCAGTGCCTGGGACTCAGAGATACCAAGAAAGAAACAGAAATGAATGCTTCCACTTATAAAATTGGAAGACTCCCCCCTCTGCATTAATAGCTAGTTTGTGGTAAGTATGGAAGGGACAGCACATGAAGAAGAACACAAACCATAACCCAAATTTGATGTGAGGAAGTAACTGTCTTCCAGCTGGATTATGATGATGTAATTTTCTTGGAACAATTAATGGCCAAATCTGAAAAAGGGGCAAATCTGAAAGAGGTTCATAAGGATGAATCATTTTATGTTAATCACTTCACTCTGCAAAAGAAAATTCAAGGACAAAAAGCAAGAAAACCTTTACAAAAAGACGTGTTGGAACAAAAATATCTAAGATCAAACCGTGTGTGTAAATTTATTTTAAAAAGTTAATTCAGCTTCCAGATTTTTCACACCAACTGTGCATTTGTATCCTATAAAAGACAACACCTGTATGATAGGACAAAAGCCAGTTTTTGAACAGTAAAGACATCCAAAGGACAGCTTTTCTTCGAATAAAAGACAATATTGTCACCGTGTTCCAAATGTGTCCAGAGATCACTAGGAATTGCAATTCCAAGCCATCTGAAGGCACACCAGGATTTTGGGAAGTCTGCGATGCCAATACCAAACTTAGCTGGAAACAAAAAAAAAAAAAAAACCCTTTCCCGGATCTGGAGGCAGCGCCCACTTTAGATTTAGCCTGACTCAGAACAGGAGGTCTCACCTCCTGCTTTGAAACCGCAGTTGAATAAAACCGTAACCGTCCAAGGCAAGGCATACTATCAAGAGATGCGCTTGGGGTGGGGGCTGAATGGCGGGGGATAGAGGGGATTACGACAAAATCCTCCGTCCCACGGGACAAACGAGCAGTCTCGAGAGAAAAGCTCCCCCCCTCCTCCTTTACTCACCACCGGCTGGTGCCAAAGCTGTGCAGCAGCACCGAATAGCCGAACCACGTCCCATTGAGCCCTTCGAAGACCAGGGGGCCCCGAGTATCTAGATTGTAAGGGCGGCAAGCCGTCGGGCAACAGCTTAGCAAGAACAGCAGCTGGGTGGAGGAAAATCCCATCTTCGGCTTGTCCCAGGCAGCCCACATCACTAACTTGGGGTTCTTCGAGGGAGGGAAGGGGCTGGGTGGGCGGGTGGAGTGAGGTGGGGTCAAACTATCGAAGCAGGAAAAAATAAAGTTGGTCGCCTCAGGCTGCTTCGCTCCGTTAAGACTGGACGAGATGGAGCCCCGGCGATAGGGACGGGATGGGTGGGGGTGGGCAGAGACACTCCCTCAGCCGTTACCCGCCACTACTAAAACGCCAAGTCGGGATGGCTTCTCATGACTTAACTATTGCTGACGCTGCGCTTTAGCTGCCCTCGCCCTCCTCCACCCACCCACCCGTCCCCCGCGGCCGCTTCGAGTCGTGGGGTGGGCTTTGCGGCCGACTCCGACGAGTTTCCGGGGGCGCTTCGCAGCCCTTTTTCACATAGCGCCAAGTTAACTCCCGGAGGGCGGCGTCCGAGCTCTCGGGGCCGCCGCAGCTGCTCTCAATTTGGAGCTGATGCCTGCCTGGCTCTGCGGATGTCAACGAGGCGGGGTGGTGGTGGTGGTGGGGGTTAATGTACGTATGAAACTTACTTGGGTTGCCCCAGAGAGTGACCCGGCGACGCCAGGCGGGAAAAGTCTGCGGTCTTGGCAACTGGCGGCAGATTACAGTTAAGGGAAAAATCTTCTTCAGAAGTACCTGGAATCAACTCTACACGTGGCGTCCCTCCTCTCCCTCCCTCCCTCCCTATATTTACGCCACAGGTAGAGTGAGACTCCACCCGGCGAAATGGTCCTTCAGCTCATGGGCTTCCCCAAACCACGTGCCAAGCAGAGGCCACGAACAGCGGCTCGGGGGTTCCAAATTCTCTCAGGCGACGTTAAGTTCCAAAGTCGTGAGTCAGCGTCTGCGAGCAAATTATTTCTCCCTTATTATCCCAAAGGCGTCTATCGGTCCGGGCATATTTAAACCCTCAGGAAAGAGGTTAGAGGACCCAGAAGTCTTGGTAACATGTTCTCGGCTGTTTCTAATCGAGATTATTGCCCCCCCCCCACTTGAGGATTTGGGGAATAGTGTTAAAATAAAATGGAGTAAATGCTTCTAAAATAAAACCGAGGCGGAACCAATCTCATTCATCCCAAAACCAATCTTTTGAGATGAATGAGAGCAATCCTTATGAATGAAAGTCTTTGCACGGTAGACTTTTATTATCCCCTTAAGTTAAGGAAAGCCACCCAGAACAGGGCAGAATTGTTAATGGCTTTGAAATGAAGTGACATAAAATTCTCAGTACGTACCTCCCAAAGGTTGCCAGACTGATGAAGGCTAATTTAACCTTTATTCCAACCTTTATTCAACAATGTGGCTTCACATATTATCCAAACATTGCTAATGTAGTATAAAAAGCAATTAGATTAGTATTAGAATGGCTATATCAATATTCCTTCACTGTAGCAATTTCCAGATGTGTGGATTTTATTGCTGAAAATTGTAGAAGTTATTCTACAATTTTCAGCAATGGTCGTTATTTGGTGGAAAATTCTGGGAGCTGAAGTTACCAGGTTTGTGAAACACTTGTGAAACAGTGGTCAGTCATAGCACCGTGGAGTGAGCACAGAATAGTGTTGTGTTTACTAACAACCCTGACCAATCAGAGTCTGAAATCATAAAAACACATTTGATTACAATGTTACTATGTTCTGCTAACTTCATGTTACAAACCAATAAATTTATGGTTGGTTGTGCAAATCCAGACAATTGTGCTAATGATCCCATAAACCTTAGTTTTATGAACCAGATGACGATCGTTTAAATTTATTATAGCCACCCATTGCTACATCTTCTACAAATCCACAACACTAAAAGCATTAAAAACATACAATCCCACAAGCAGCCCAGACTAAATCAAACAATTACAAATCAAGCTTTGCTATTCTTCAAGTCAAGGAACCAATAGATATTTTTGTTGTATGAATCTTTTTCACAGTGTACCAAGCAACCTGGTTCCAGGAACAGACCAAAGTAAAACATCTAATGTTTTACTTGTTAGTGGTCTGCCCTCCCCAACTTCAATTCATTCTACACTGAAGGAGTTAAGAAGCACTGTGTTCAAATTTCTGAATGATCACAGGAATCTGGTACATTGCAGAACCAAACTTTCTGCATCAGGAAAAGACAAGAAGGATAATAGACTTTCTACTGGATAATATGCATAATCAGGACCACTAGTGAATGTAATATAAATCATCCAATTAGTGCAGTGAAATGAACACTTGCGACAACCTCAAATGTGGAAACAGAACAACTAAGATACAGAATTCAGGGTTTCTTAGATATACACTCACCATTCTGGACAGCTAACAACTTAGGAAGCTAAGCAGTGCAGCAGCATGTTGCAAGCAGATTTTATTTATTAAATATATTAACTTATATATTGTTTATCTGGATAGCGAGATGGACTACATATAATTTTAAATAAATACATATTTAAATAATACATATTATTATGTATATGTAAATAACGTAGTTGGGTTGACAATATATAAACTACAAATTATATATGTTTGTAGGTTTAAGGAAAAATACTGTAATGTATTAAGCTGTGTTCTGGTTGATTAATTATGCTACAAGTTGCCATAAGAGGGAGCTATAAATCATGGTTTAATTCTCTTTCTTTTTCTCTTTTTCACTGATGATCTCTCTTGTTACTGATACTGACTGACTACGGACCAATACTGAATAACCCTGTTTATTTTGATATTCTGTTGATATCGAAGGTTATTTGTTGTATTATGGTTTGATATTTGTCTGCTGTAAAAGACATGGAACCGGTAAGAAGACTTTATAACTAGATGTAAGAAGACTTTATAACTGGATATTTCTGGATTGTTAAAAACGTGTATGACATGGACTGTTTATTGGACTGTGCTATTTCTTCAAGTAAACATTAAGACAAATTGTTCAACTCTGTGTGGCTGTATATTTCTTCATAACTGTTCTCATAAACCATTTTCCATGTGCACATCCTTTTTATACAAGGGTTACTCTGCACATATCCTAACATTTATCCTGCTTTTATTATTTTTTATAAAGAATTTGAGGGGATGAACATACTCTTCCTATTTTCTGCACTACAAACCTGTAAGGGTTGGACTATGAAAGAGTGACTGGCCCAGAACCAGCTTTTATGCGTAAATTGGCACTAGAACTCACAGTCCCAGTTTCTACCCGAGTGTCTTACTAGACTAGACCAAACTGGTTCTCAGTGAGAATTAAGTGAGAGGGATGTTAAAGTTTTCCTACATCTATCTATTTCTGAGTGCAGATGTATGGCATTACACACCCATTAAGCACAATATATCATCATTTGTTTGTAGCCTGTCATCTTTCTATTGCAATGTTCTGTAAGATTCCGTGATCCCAACTGAATGCTGCAATTCTTAGTGCTATGCAAAACACTTCAATCTGAAGCCCTTTGAGTGCAAAACTTCATGAAACTGCAGTCTCCCATTTCAGGTATGGGACCTGTTGTATCCAGCATAGAAAATCGCTTTCTGAGCATTTCAGAAGTGTTCCAAACTCAAAATATTTTGTGCTTGAATTAGATGTGTTTTGACCTTAAAATGCTTCCAAAATGTAAGTAGCCTGTTCACATTTGAAACTGTTGTTTTACATGAAAAATGGAAAGTTTCACAAAGTTTTTACATGCAAAGCAGTTTGAATTAAAACATTTTGTGTACTTCTGTTCTTAATTAATCTAATTAGTTTAGGGACTTCCCTAAATCTGGGCCTATTTCATCTTTCCCTTTGACTAGTGAAATGTGATTTGGGTGGACACAAGATAAAATGACAAATGGCAAGACAAAAGGAAGCAAAAGTTAGGTGAGATGAAATTCTGTGGCTTTTCTGATACTATTGGAAAGATATTTGGGGGCAGTTATTTTGCAGAACATTTTTGATTTGGAAGTTTAGTAGTTGAGAGAATCCTCTTTTTTTTCTTTCTGATTGGGAAAGATGTTTTGGTGAAATGAGAGCTAGCTGCCCATGATAGTGTTCTGACCCAAAACTTGTTCCAAGGTAACAAACACGAAATAAAGATAACAGCAAAGCCTTCTAATTATTCTTTATTAATTCCGTTCCTTCACAGTTAAAAGGCTGTTTCAAACTAATTGTCTCTGATAAGAACAAGCCTTGCCAAGGTTGTGCAAGGCTGCTAAGAATACTAGATAAAGTTACTAAGAAATATTTCGAAGAGAAAAAGTCTCCAAACACCAACCAAGATACTCCAAACGTCTACAAGGCTTGAGTACAAAAACTTCTTTGCTTCCTGCAAAGAACTCTGGTATCTCAGCTGGTTTTTATCTCTTAGGGGAGGGCCATTACCTTGCAGCCTTACTTCTGAGTCACCCATACTGCTACAACTGCTCTTTCCTTCAAGCAGCCCTGCACGCACACGCACTGGGCACAGGCTCCTTGGGACCTCTTCATCACTGCTGCCACCCTCCACAATCTCCAAAGGCAGCATTCCACTCCCTCGTGGTCCTGGCCCCATCCTTTCATCACATGCAGGCCCCTCATCTGAATCCTCACTCTGCGAGACCTCAGTTGTCCGCATCTGCTGCCAGCGAACCACAACAGATAGGATGCGTCTGACAGAAGTAGCCTTGTGGCTTGGGGCTGAGGAAGATACAGCTGGAGATATAAAATGGGCTCTTCCATAAGGGAGTTATCTCCACTTCTAACCTGCCATCTCCATCCTGTGAACCAGGTAGTCAATTGTGGGTGCCATGAGCCATAAGTGGTTGATAGTTTATGCTAGATATGTCTGCAATAAGATTATTCTCATCCATGTTTTGGTATTGGATGAGGCAACAGATCTGGCATATATTATCAAAACCTGGCTGGGTGATGATGTTGCCATTGATGGGGCATTAGGACTTTCAACCAGGTATCAGATCCTCCAACATCAGTACCATGGCTAGAGAAAGGAGTGTGATGTATCTAATTGTAAAGAATGTCTTATCTGTGACTAGGCATGCTGCTGTGGAGATAGGATAAACAGGATTTGGAAAGATCCTGTTTATCCTGTTAGGCTGATAAATCAGTTGCAATCCTACCCAGGGCATGAGGATGTACCTATAGCAATTAATACAGTTATCAGGTTGGGTCAGGTTGGTTACATGCTATATAGTACTTGGGACTGTTATTAAAAACTGCTCTGAATATATCCCAAAAGTGCTTTTTTCAAAAGGCATCTGGACTTTCTTTGTTTTTCCTTGAAGACGTTTTGCTTCTCATCCAAGAAGCTTTTTCAGTTCTGACTCTGAAGTTTCTTGGATGAGA